TTGCTAGGGACTTGCCCGGCACTTGCTCTCTACCTCTATTTGTTATCTTACTTCTATCATTGACAGTCCCTCTAGGTTGTGGGCTGCTTGCCTGTGTTCCTGAGAAGCATCTACGGTACCAGTCTATAGAGTGTGTTTTCTTTAGTGAATTACCGGTATGTTTACCGGTAATAAACTTGCACTGTTTTATGTATATGTTTGATTACATACAGCCTTGTGACAGTTTTCCTGCATGTCATAAGCATTTGAATATAAATTAAAATGTTAAAATCAAATCTGCTATTGTTTTACCTTTTATTTGGTGTGTGGAAGGTGTGCGGAAGAGGGGGTAGTCTTATACGGCGAGTATATAACAAACTCTGTATTTTGAGTGGAAATGTTAGGGGGTGGTCTTATACGCCCAGTCGTCTTATACGCCGGCAAATACGGTAAATTGCTTAGCAAAAGAATTTAATACACTTTAATCTTGAGGTGATGAATGAATGAATTGAATATCATTGATGTGTTCAGATACATACATTTAAAGTCTATTCTTAAAAATATTTTTGTCTCATTTGGATTTATTTTATAAGAGTTATGTCTTGGTTTACTATAGCATTTAGGCTAAGTTTGTGGACCAGAATTACTTAAATTAGTAAAGAGTAGAATAATTTGAACATATTGCACATATCTCTTAACTTGTTAATATATATTTAAAATTAAATTCTCTTTTTGCCAAGTTTTTATTATGATTACTACAAACCCTGTCATTTTAATATCTAAAGTGCCTCTATAAGTAAGTCTAAAGTGATTATATAGTATGTCAGTTATAATCTAGATTATGTTCATTACTATTTTTTTTTACTTAAACTATTTTATTTAACAGAGTTGATATTAGTCTTTCTCAATCTTTAATATGTGAAGTGATAAATGAGATTTTACCTTTGTAATTAGTGGCTGTTTTAGTAAATACGCTTCCTACATTAAAAAAAAAAAGCCAACCACTTTTAAGGAGGAACTATTAGAGATAGGTTAAAATTTGTTTTAACAAACTATTATCCAAGTTATTATTGGGCTCTAGCAAGTTGATAGGTGTTGACCATGACAAGGTATACTTAATGTTATCTGTAGTCTCATCAGTATGAGTAGAGTGGCTGTTTGCTCTAGAATAAATAGTTCACCACGAAACAGTGCAATTGGCTTCCTTAGGATATTGTGTTGGGGAAGACTCTTTAAGCAGGATGCTGACAGGAGTATGTTCTGTATGCTTTTCTTCGTAGTTGTCTTTTTTTTAATAGTAGGTTCTTATTATACTTTTAAATTTGATTTATTTAGTGAATATATAGCTATACTTGCTACAAAATTCAAAAGCTATACATTGAAAAGTCCTCCTCTACCTGTGTGTCCCTCTGCCTCCTTGGAGACAACCAATGTTGAAAATTAGAATTTTTTTTGAAACTTTGTTTCTTTCACATTTCATGAACTGTTTTTTGTTGTTTCTTAAGGATGTATACAATCATGCAAGAATTTAATTGATAATTTTCTCTTGATTGATAAGCATTAAAGAGATAACAATGATTTGGGAGTTGTTTTGCTTACTAAATTCAAACGAAAGCTTTAAATAAGCTTTCTTTATAATCATAGTAAAAAAAAAAGATTATTTTTCCTTGAGAGTTTTGTGAGGGAAGAACATCATTAATCTGAGAGGTAAAATGCAATCTCACTCTTAATTAACTTTTGTTAATTAAGTTGAACATTTTTTCTTGTGTTTATTGGTTTATTTCTTTTCTTGTGAGTCATGCTTATGTTCTACCTGTTTTCTACATCATTCATCATTTTCTAATTGATTTGTGAGACACTTTTTTCCCCTTTCATTTTTAGGCTATACTGGACTAGGGAAATTAGCCTTTTGTTGTATCTGTTGAACTCATTTTTCTTGATTTGAGATTTGTCTTTTGCCTTTATTTTTTATATATTTTACCATATAAAATATAACTTTAGTGCCCAAAATGATCCATTTTCATGACTTTTGGATTTTATTGGACAGGTAAAAAGACCTTTCCTATTTAAAAATACTTTAATGTGGTCATATTTTCTTTTTTAATGTTTTTTTTTTAAATTTAGGGTGTTGTCCTATACTCCAAACGGTTGAGGATTCAGTCCCTGGTGGAGCCATATACAGGTCCATGTTTCTCTCTCACATCAATGTTTCTCCCTCTCTCTAAAATCAGTAAACATATCCTTGAGTGAGGATATATAATAATAAAAGAGTAATATGCTAATTAGCCAGACTACCTTCTGGACGAAGCCGGGGCTGTGAGGGAAGCCCGGGTCCCAGGTGCTGGAGGGAAGCCGGTGCTGGCAGCCAAGGGGGCGGGGAGTGGGGGCGCGCGGGAGGAAGGCCTACTCTTGCACGAATTTCGTGCATCGGGCCTCTAGTTAAAAAAATAAAAACAATTTGCTTACCTGTTTATTCAACCAATATTATTGATCACTTTTGATGTGCTAGACAGTATTCTAAATGTTGGGGTTTATTCTAGATCTGAAGATAGAGCAGTGAACAAAGTCTCTGCCTCCACAGAGCTTAGATTCTGTTAATTTTATCTTCTAGATTTTTAAGCTGTCTTTATATCAGTGCTATTCATTAGCTTATTTGCAATAAATCATTTAATAATTTATTTACCAAATATTTATTTAGAATCTACTAAATAATAGCTATTGTTTTGGGGGCCAGGAGCACAGTTCCCGCCCTTGTGGAGCTTTTATTGTAGAACAAGCAAACAAAGTAACATCTGCTGATGCTGTTCAGAGCACAAAGGCAGAGAGCTATGGAAGAGGGTGATTTTAGGTGACTTCAGATTTGGGAGTCTGGAAATGCTTTTCGGAAGAGATGACATTTCATGTTGAACCTGAGAGATGGGAGGGAACAGTGATGCAGAGACCCTGACAGGGAAACAAGTATACAGGCTGTATGTTTGGTGGGATTGAGGAAGAGAAAGGAGGCTACGTTGGCTGGGTCATCGTGGTGAGGAGACAGAAAGAGGTAGGCAGACTTGAGGTGCGTTTGGAAATCAGAGCTTGGTTTTGGACTTTATTTAAAGTGTAGCGGGAGCCATTTGGAAGGTTTTGAGAAGTAAGTTGAAATGTTTACTCTTGCTTCTGTGGGAAGAGTGGACTAGGGGCCAAGATATGCATCAGGAAAACCAGCCCATTGTACGTGTCCAGGTGAGAGATGCTATTGCCTGAGACAGAATGAAGAAGTGAAGCTAGAGGAAAGGAGATGACTGTGAAGGTAGAGTGGGCAGAACTTGCTGAGGGTGTTTCAACTCTTTTAATTTTTTTGTTTTAGTAATTATATTTTAAAGGCTGCAACATTTGCTTTTATATAATAGCTTCATTAATATATATATTCACATACCATATAATTCACCCATCTAAAGTGTTCAAGTCAGTGTTTCTGAGTATATTCAGAGTTGTGCCATCATGACTACAATTAATTTGAGAACATTTTCATCACTGCAGATAGAAACCTGCACCCAATTAGCATTCACTCCCCATTTCCTGCCAACTCGCCTAACTCTAGGCAACCACCAGTCTACTTTCTGTTTCTATGGATTTGCCTATTTTGGACATTATATGTAAATGGAATCATATACTATGTGGTACTTTGTGACTGGCTCCTTTCACTCAACATACTGTTCTCAAGGTTCGTCAATGTTGTATCCTGTATCTGTACTTCCTTCCTTTTTTTTTGTCTGGATAATACTCCATTGTACGGCTATACTGCATTTTATCCATTTTGCTAATTTGGAAGTTAGTGTGAGTAATGTTGCAAGATACATTTTTATATTTGTTTATTTTTAAACATAAAATATATCTTCAAATACCCGCTCTTTCAGTGGCAGCCTGTGGGTTTTTGTTTGTTTGTTTGTTTGTTTTTTCATAAATTCAGTGTGTTCTCAGTTCTCTTGAAGTACACTCCTTCCCTTTTTCCCCCTTATTTCTTGCTAGCCTGTGGGCCATTTGGTTTTTTATTTCATTCCATTTATTTTTAGCTAGTGGGTTTCTTCAGGTGTCTGATGATTCTTGTCTGCTTCCTCGTTCATGTTTATAGTAAGAGAATAATAAAGCAGTTGAGCGTATCTTTTTTTAGTTCTATTTACCTCTACAGAAGGTCTTCCCCAAGTGGGCTTGTCTCACATACTCCAACATTGAATTCCACGGACTGCATGCTCCTCACTCTGAATCCTTGTTTGTGGTAGTGCTTAACCTTACTGGGTTATGACTGTTTGTCTTCCTTATAACTCTAGGTTTCAAGAGTAGATGCCATACGTAACTAATTTCATTTTGTATATCCAACTTTTCTTTCATCGTGCTTCATAAATAATAAATACATGTTTGTTGAATTGAATTGTATATCATATTTAATTGTCAGGCATTTAAAATGTGTGTATGGTTTTGTTTTTTTTAGAGGCGTGGAGCTATTTCCTATGACAGCTCTGACCAGACTGCATTGTACATTCGTATGCTAGGTAAGCATTTTTTATTTTGTACCAATATCAGTTAATTTTATTATCACGTACTATTATTTGAAATTGAGATATATTTAATTAGGTAGCTTTTCATCCCTGTTTACAGCAGAAATAGTCTGTTACTTTGAAACTGAGTCTAGAAACCAATATTGAATATGATGTGAATAAAGTGGCATTTAAGTTTTAGGTAATTGAGAAATCTGGCGTAATAACTGGGACTCTGTCACTCATGCCTAATTTTAAATTGCATCCTGAGTATCTATAATAATAAAGTATAATATGCTAATTAGACCGGATGTCCTTCCACATGACTTCAGACAAGCCGGGGCTGCGAGGGCCGAGGCAGGCTGCCGTGGCTGTCACCAGTGGGTGGACTGGGCCTCCTCCTGTGAGGGAAGCCTGGGTCCTGGGTGCCAGAGGGAAGCTGGTGCCAGCAGCTTGGGGGAGGAAGGCCTACTCTTGCACGAATTTCATGCATCGGGCCTCTAGTTCTTTATAAAAAGAATCTTAGATTTGTAGAGTTGCTAAATAAGTACTAAACAGATGTCCATGCTAGCATAGACAAAGATGCAGCCATGAAATTACTGACCAGAGTCCTGTCACTGGGTGTATTTTGTTCTCAGTTGGCTGGCGAGGAGAGGACCATGTGTCTTCTAATCTTAGTTCTTAAGTTTTTAATGTATTGCTTAAGTCCACAAAGTAACATGAATTTTCACATATATGTCCATAATTTTCTTTCTCTCTCTCTCTTTACCAGATTACACTTTTTACCCCCACACTATATTCCTTATACTTTAATTCATACTGTTAAAAATTTACTATTAAGATTCCAATAGGCAAATTTGCTCTTCTTTTCTTAAAGGCATCTTCCATGACAACTCTCCTCATGCTCTGAATTCTTTTCTCAATTCTATGATATGAGCATTTCTTACTCTTCACCTACTATTTGTTGTTGTTGTTTTTCCTTTTTCACTAATTCCTTTAGATACTCTTAAGCCTAAATGTTCTCCAGTGTCCTGTTTTTGCTCTTTTTCATTTTCCCCTCTCTAATTTAGCCTGTGTGTCTTATCTGCCTCAGTTTCATTCTACTCTGGTACATATTGTCTCCCCACAAATGTTCAGCCCTTTCCTCTTCACTGTCTCCATCTCTCTCCAAACCTATTCAGGATTTTGCTCTCCTTGAAACAGCTTTTTAGACTCATATTTTTTAAAACTCTGTTGAACTTCTCCACATGGGCATATAATGGGTACTTCACATTTAAAATGTCTATTAGACAAAAGATTTGTGTTCTCAAGGTTGTTCATTTTGCAGTCTTGCCATCCCAGAAAATGTAACTCCATTCTTCTGGAGTCATTCTTGACTCTTATTTCTTCTGTACTGTATGTCTACTTTATCAGCAAATCTTCTTGGCTGGTACCTGCAAAATGTAACCAGAATTCTTC